CAAACTGTTGGTTCTGCCTGCCTCTTGGCTAAAGCACCACTACCGTGCACAGCAGCCAATAGTTGACCCCCTTCTGGTCAGATGGGGCTGGAAGGCACTCTCCATAGCAGTTGGGGCTGACTCAGCTCCTTGTCTATGTGTAGGCAATCCAAGCTATAGGGCTGGCAAAACTCATCTGAGTGTCCAAATCAGGCAGGTCTGTACCCCACCAAGTTCCCTGGTCAGAGCGTGTTCTGAACTTGGTTCTGCGGATAAACAAAGCCACTGGTTGGGATTACTACTTGGGCACCACAGGTATGAATTCAGTCTGCTGCGGTCCATGCCGAGGGGGTTGGTGCAAACCCCACCCCCTTCTCAGCCCCAGATTCCCCTGCAATCCTCATCATGTGAGGTCAGGGTAGGGGCTTCTGCAAAGCAAGCCCACAAGTCTTGGCGGCGGGGGGGGGGGGGGGGCGGCTGGTTTGTCCTCTGGAAGAATGAGCAGCTCAGGGAAGACCTCTCCACCTGGTGCTGTGCTGGCCTGGAGACAATGCAGTCAACATGCAGCTACTTCTCTTTTCCTTCTAATACAATCTGTCTTGGTCTCTGTGGTACAGAGGCTGCTTCTGCCTCATTCCCATGTTTAGGATTTTCTCAGTCGTATCCTCTTCTTGAATTGCTATTAGCTATTCAAAGGGAAACAAAGCAGGAGGAACTTTTATTGCCATCTTGGTGACATCATTCCCTTTTTAAAGTCTTTAAAGTAGAATTGGAGAATGGGAAGTTTGTTAATACAAAAACTTTGTTTTATTAGATTAATGGAAAGTGGAGTGGCCAGAGTGCTGGAGGATGTGGAAATTTCCAAGAAACTCACAAAAATAACCCCATCTACCAATTCCATATAGAAAAGACTGGGCCATTACTGATTGAGCTAAGAGGACCAAGGTTTGTGATTAAGTAACTTTCTTAGTATCATTAAAAATGAGTTTAGTAGGATAGGGTTTTGAAACACACCTATGCACATAGGGCACTTGATTAATGAGAAACATGGCATTGCAGAGGAGTGGAGAAAGGGTAGTCTGATGAATGAATGTGCTTCAATAATTGAATATTCCATGCACCAAAAAGGCAAGTCTAAAAACCTCTTGTAGTTGGGTTACTAATAAAGAAAATATCTTAACGACTTCAGGATAAAGAAAAATTTAAGACACATTGATTGTAAATATGCAACGGTTGTTTAAAAAAAAAGTCAGCAATTTAAAAAATAAAAGCTCGACTAGGTGTGTCATAAGAGGAACAATCCAAAATGACTAATAAACCGTTGTAACAACCCAAGTGTTCATCAGTGGCATTGAGTCATAGAGTCCTGCACAACAGTTAAAATAAGTAACTACGCACAGCATGATGGATAAGTCTTAAAAACAATGCTGAGCAGAAGCCGTACACAACAGAACATCAACTGTACGATTCCACAAATGAAACTATTATATAAAGATGCACAGTTGTCAGATCATATAAAAGAACGTAGGGGAGGGTGTTGGGGAGTAAGTGAAATAGGTGAAGGGGATTAAGAGGTACAAACTGCATAAAATAAGTCAGAAGGATGAAAAGTACAACAGAGAATATAGTCAATAATGTTGCGACGTATGGTTACTAGGTTACTCCACTCACTGGGGGAGCATGAAGTAGAGAACTGTCAGATCACTGTTGTACACACCTGAAACTAATATAACATTGTATGTCAATATACTTTTTTTTTTAAGGACAAGAAAGTGTTAAATGTTAGCTGTGTGGGGACAGGAGCTGTAATGAGAAAGGCACATACGGGGACTTCTATGGTGCCGAGGGGTTGATCTAGGTAGTGATAACCCATGTGTTTACAAGTTATTTAGGCTGTATGTTGTATGTACATTGTGTTTCGTTTCTTAAAAAGGTTTAAACAATAAAATTAGTACTAACAAATAAAACTAGGCTTAATTTTGCCTCTTTACAAACTATTTCAAAAACTAATAATCCTTTAGATACAGTTAAGCTATTTTTCTAGTTTGATAGGTGAAATAAGGTATCTGGTTGTTCTTTTGTAGCCAATTTGTACATAGACTAAAGTAAAAGTATTTGATAATGTGTGTCTTTGGCTATTCACGTCTTTTACCCATTTTTCTCTTGGAATTGTCATGGTTTTCTTAACTATAATATAGCATGAATAAGGATCTGTATCACAATTTTACAAGTATTTTTCCCAGATCATATTTTTTTTTTCACAGAGAAAAATTTCCATTTTAAAGTAAGTTCATTTTGCTATGGGCATGAAATCATACCCCAATATCAAATTTTTACCGTATTTTTTTTCTAGTTCTTTTTGTGATATCTATATAGAATGGTATTTTTATAGCAATTTAAGTTCTTTTTTCTTAATTTGTCACCTCATCACCATTTAAATAATTCTTCCTTTCCCTACTGATTTGGAATGTCATGTCTACTGTAATATGCTAATTACTTCTGTAGATTCAGATTTTATTTCAGGGCTTTCTCCTTCCACTTTTTCTGCAAAGACAGTATTTTTTTCATTTAAATTTAGCAGTATTCTCTCAGAGCCCGTGGTAAAAATAGTTTCTTCTAAAGTAAGTTTAATGCTAATCTTCTTAGCTTCAATTTAAAAATATAAATGATGTCTTGTAGAATTAAAGTAAAAATAGCATGTGTTTCAGAGGGGTTTCCTCCTCCTAAGACTTTAGAAAGCATATATATCTGCATTTTAGGTGTGTATTTGAGACTACTTAATAACAGTAATTGTTTCTTTTTATTGCTAGGCAATATAGTGTTGGATTTGAGGTTGTAACGGTGTCCATGGTGGGAGATCCCGGTCCCCATGGCTTTCAGAGGAAATCTAGTGGTGACTATAGGTAATGTTTTCATTTTAACTGTATCTAATTTATACTTTACTTTTTGTGGCATCATCTTCTGTGAACTTTGTTCTCATTTTTCCCCCTCTGCATATAGGTGTGGGTTTTGCTACTTGGAATTAGAAAATATACCTGCTGGGATCTATAATATCATTCCTAGTACTTTTTTGCCTAAACAAGAAGGACCTTTTTTCTTGGACTTCAATAGTATTATCCCCATCAAGACAACACAACTTCAGTGATGCAGCTTTCGGCATTTCTGGATTTTTATACTTACCAACATCAGCTCTTCGAATAAGAACAGAAATTGTCAGGACACAAACAGAACAGAATGTTCTAAAAATGTTACAGTGGGATCTGGTGCTCAGGTCACTGTGTTTAGAATTATATATAGTCAAAATTACTCTAAATCACGCAGAAGTACTGTTTACATGGTTTTGTGTGTATAAGGAGTTGGTTTGCATTCAGGGGCCACATTGCATAAACTGTGGAGGATTAAAGGCTAGACTCAGCACTCCGTGATGCTTTTGCTAAAAGAGAACGGAGACCAGATGAGGGACATGACGTACCCCTCACTGGGTGGAACAGTAGGCTGGTATAATATTCTGAAATATTTATATTTGTCTTTTGGCAGAGCATGTTGTAAGTTAAACCTGCTTGTGTTGTGACTCTACTGTACATCTTGGGCAGCTAATTACCAAATGAATCATGTCACCGTAACAGATTTTAATTGTTATGATTTTTGATGTTTGTTGCCCAGGTGTCATGAAAGAATAAAGCTTTAAGAAATATTTTAAAACTTAGTCAACAATGAAGGTTGTTGAACTTAGGTACCTGTTTCCCATTAACTCCTGTAAAGAGAACAGATATATTCATGATTGCAATTATTTTTTACCAGGCTGAATGAAGGTAGTAATCTGAGACACTGAAGATACTACAGTTTTAAAAATTGCTCTTATAGTAACACTGAAGATACAATTGAAAAATATCTTCATTGAGGTTGTATTTAGAGAAACTGCCAAAATACCACTGCCATGTATAAATTCCCAGTTTACATAGAAATCCATCAGAGTAACGCTCAGAATTTTAAACATCTGAAAATAAGGTGGAATTTTTCATCGTCTCTACTTTATAATTATCACAACTTATTTTGTATTTCTACTATCTTTAATTGGAATAAAATCTTTATACTTACGGAAACTGCATAGTTTAACCTAGAGATTATTAAAGGGCTTCATCTAGTATGTTCCATCTAAAAACTCATTATTTACATGACAGGCTTCAACAGGCCTTTTTTTTTTTAACAGGCCTGTTTTATATTCAGAATACTGATTCCACTTTGGTAAATACTTCGTTTCAATTTTAGGTGGATTAATTTTCTATGACCCTTTAAAGAAAAATTTAAACACACAATTAGAACCTTTAATGGAGACCTACATATGAACAATTTAATACTGAATTCTATTATACATCTGTACCACCCTACATGGAGCTCTATAAGATCAGTTTTGGCTGGACCAAGATAGGAAAAAAAAAATGTCAACTAGATGCACATTAGAATCAGCTGGGGAAGCTTAAAAAGTTCAGTATGCAGGGATCCCTGGGTGGCTCAGCGGTTTAGCGCCTGCCTTTTTGGCCCAGGGTGCGATCCTGGAGTCCCAGGATCGAGTCCCATGTCAGGCTTCCGGCATGGAGCCTGCTTCTCCCTCCTCCTGTGTCTCTGCCTCTGTATCTATCATAAATAAATAAAATCTTAAAAAAAAAAAAAAGTTCAGTATGCAAGTGTACCCCAAATTATACTGGGCTCTAGAGTTATAATAGCAGAGAGCAACAGTATTCTTTAAGCTTCCCCAGAGATTCCAGTGCAGCAGAGGTTGGGAAGCATTTCTACATAATCACCTTGTCTTCATTTTCCTAATGCTGTGTCTCCTTACTGCCCAGCTTTAGTAGCAGCAGCAGAATTCTCAGACCTTGGTAACTGGGGCTTAAATTAGTAGGATGCAGGACCTTAAATGGAAATTAAAACAGTTGACCACTGCATTCCATGTTCTTCCTTGTGGCAAGAAGGTTGCCTAGAATGGAAGATTGAGGGTTTATTTGAAGACACAGAAAGGTAAACATTTTCTTAGGCCATTTTTATTACACTCAAGGAATTAAGACAAGTACAAAATAACCTTGTAATTAGGATACTGTATCAGTCATTAAAAAAGGAGAAAACACTACATACAGTATGAAGAGATTTACAAATGACTAAAATATACAAGTTGTATCAGAATTAACAGACAACTTGAAATGGGGTTGCTTTTCTTTTAGAAATGCTATTGTTTTTAAACAAAAGGACAAATAAAATACAGTGCTCTAAATATATGTAACCATGAAAACATGAAAGAAAAGCAATCTTAACACATACTATTAGCATAACAGACTTCATTGCTTCTATTTAACAGCCTGTGCCAACACATGCCTACTCCCTTTCCTATCTTTAAAGAACAGTTCCCTCTAAGAAATACTAATGCAGCATTACCCTTAAATAATTTTTTAAAGTCACAACCTACAGAGAAATTGACACCTTGTCAAATCTAGATATAAACAATGGCAACCATCCTTTACATGCACTTCTCTTAAGAGTTAAGTCCCTTGGCTGGTAGGATAAGGTTTATGCTATAGACTCTTCTCCCCCACAGCCACAAATCACCACCTATGGTATGTCCCTGCTACCCTCCATCCCTCCCATCCCCACGTTGGCATTCACCTTCCCCCCCCCCAAAAAAAAAAGTGCAGTTCATGATAATCTTTATAGAAAATGGTTCTAATGGGTATCCCAGTCTATACGCTTTTTTTAAAAAGCCCCTTCTGAATACCAGAGGTGATGAAAATGAATCATGTTCTTGGAATTTTTGTAAGCCTTCGCTGGGTCAAAAAGGGGTGTTCTGATTGAGTTTCATTCTTGTGTGCGTTCATTTAGATCCCCTGGGATATAAAGGAGAGAACATCTCCATTTTCCCAATCTGAGGATAAGAGAAGGGAAAGAGAAGCAAGCTGTCGACCCCGGTTTGGCTCAGCTTCCCAGCCCCTTTCCTGGCTCGGGTTCTTTCACAGGAACTAGTTATTGCTTCCATAACACTGTTACAGGTAATATTCCACAGAGGCTGTGACCCTGGTCACAGTCCACTGCAACAACGCCTCCACTCTGAAAAACCAGCCCAAGAGCTCTTCCCAGAAGGAAACTCTTCAGCCCTCAAGGTCACAACTTCATTAGTGCAGTTTACAGTAAACGCTTAAGATTTGGCATATATTAAATGATTATTGGCACAATGTTCTCCATACAGCTTCGTGTATAAATACTGCTATGCACTTGGGCCAGGGCTTCGGATGGATCAGCCAATCTGCACCATTTTTATGTCAGCAATAATCCCATCTCTTCCTTTTGAGCACTGGAGAGAGAGCTGCTTCATCCTGTTCTCCAAGGCCTGGCCCTCGCGGGAGGTGTTGCTTTGGCTCTTGCCACTGCCACTGCTGTTGCTGAGACCTCGATTGTTGTTGGCTTTGTCGCTTGTTTTATTCTCTGCTCCTTCTGCCCTGTCTCCTAGAGAGATGTAAAGGAGATTAAGTACATACTGACAATTCCAAGAACCACCTGAGCCCAAGGCAACTCAGCCCTCCAGAATCTCCCAGGGTTGTCCAACTGTGCCTGTCACAGAGCATTCTCCATCACATGACTACATATTGCTTTTATTGGTCAAGGCATTTTATATATCCCTTATCTTTAGAGAGGATTGGTCAGACCCTAACAGCCAGGAAACAAACCTCTAGCACATGCTTGTCAAGAGGGCTATTAGCGAAGACAGAACCCAAGCTGCACTTTGAGGAAGTGTTCGGAAGCAGAGCCACGCAGAGCCCCCCCAAAAACAGCAGCCAGCATCTCTGTGGTCAACACAATGCACATTCGCAGGGGTCCAGGGATGCAGCACCGGAGTGCCGAGACCTGGCAAAGGTCTAGAGCAGCACGGAAAGCTGGATCCCAAGGCAGCGAGGCATCTGGCAAAGGCACTACTGCTGAGAGGGCGGTCACTCACCTCGTTCTACCTCACATTCGGGGGATGAGGCTCCACTGCATTCACTGCGAGGGCCCAATACCGGGAACATCATCCCAAACTCTGACAGAGACACAGGGCTGGGCAGATCCAAGCTGCCAGGCCTCACGACTGCAGGGAACTGGTCAGGCATCTCAGATGGGCTTGTTGGCCCTGAACTAAAGCTGGATACAGACTGGGTTTCCGAGTCATCTTCAGACACGAAGTTGCTGCAGTTATCATCTTCAAAGGCCTCGGAGGCCACTAGGAGGAGAGACAATACCAGTCGTAGGTTCTGACGGAGAACAACCTAATTCCTGAAACCCCTCTAGATGTGTGCACTGCTGGCTGGCAGCTGGATGCGGCCTGGGGACCACAGAATCCTTGCCACCGTGGGCACCTAAGAAAAGGACCCTGACCCTCCCAAGCCTGCATGGCCAGACTGCCAACTGCAAAGGGAAGCAGTTGGACCCCATGGATATCCCGTGTCCTTAAAATAACCTCCTAACTTCTGCCCTAGAAGTCAGTGTCGACTACTTCAATACACTACCTAAAGGTGGAGGATGAATCTGCCCCAGAACAGGGGCTTTTCTCCACCCCAGGTCCCCAGGTAGATCCGCATGTACAGAAAGAGAGTGGCCCTTTGTGATGCACACTAAACAAAGCCAGTCAGCAGTAACAGCTGCTCCCATGCAGCAGAAGCAGGAGCTACAAAAAGAAATGGTCCTGTGTGGAGTAACTGTTGGGATTCTGTGATCTTCCAGGCAGCTTCTGATCACATAAAAGACAGAGTATATCACCATTTGCTGCACAAGGACAAAATTCCTTTAAAATGCTCTAAACTTGGGCCTCATTTTGTGGATCAGAATAACCAAGGTTCAGAGGACAGATCATTCTTGTGGTTTGAAAGCCACATTCACCTTTCACTGTTTTCCCCTCAGCCTGCATACAATCCTGCTTTTTAGACCTTTCCTATTCTCTTTTTCCCTCCTCCCTATCTTTAAAAACAGCAGTGGGGGGGGGGGGTGGATACAGCAGTAGCATCCCCTAGAGGACTACCATAAATGAAAATTACTGAAATGCTGAGCTCAGAAAACAGGTTCATATCTGAACTCAGATCCTGTCTCCACTAATTGCTGTGTAGCCTTCCTCAGCCTCTCTGAGCTTCATGTTCTCCTCCATATGAGAAGATGCGTAGTAGAGTACCTCACACATTACTGATGATCAGATTTTCCTTTCCGTTGGACCCGGCTTAAACATTTGTTTACTGAATTTTAAAACTCCCGAAGAAGGACCTCCTTGAGAGCACCAATAAGGATTATTCCACAGAAAACGGAAGGAAGTGTGCAAAGACAGTGCTGGAAGTTTTCTTAATCTAAAGGGAAAACTGGACTATTTTCTTTCACCATATGCAAAAATAAACTCAAAATGGATTAAAGACCTAAATGTGAGACCTGAAACCATAAAAATCCTAGAAAAGAACACAGGCAATAATGTCTCTGACATCAGTCGTAGCAGCATTTTTTGAGATAGGCCTCCTGAGGCAAGGAAAATGGAAGCAATAAACTATTGGGACTACGTCAAAGAGCTTCTGCACAGTGAAGGAAAACATATCCAATATTAAGGGAATTTATACAAGTCAACCCACACCCAAAAAAACCCAAATAATCCAGTTAAGAAATGGGCAGAAGACATGCACAGACATCATCTTTCCAAAGGCATCCAGATGGCCAACAGACACCTAAAGATCAACATCACTCATCATCAGGGAAAAGCAAATCAAAACCACAATGAGATTATCACCTTACACCTGTCAGAATAGCTAAAATAAAAAACACAAGAAAACAGGTATTGGTGAGGATGTGGAGAAAAAGGAACCCTCCTGCACTGTTGTGGGAATGCAAACTGGCACAGCCTTTGTGGAAAACAGTCTGGAGTTTCCTCAAAAAGTTAAAAATACAACTATCCTATGATTCAGGAAGTGCAGTACTGGGTATTTACCCAGAAAAATACAAAAACTAATTCAAAGGGATACATGCACCCCTATGTTTATAGCAGCATTATTTACAATAGCCAAGGTATCAGTAGCCCAAGTGTCTACACTAATGGATGGGGGGGGGGGGTGTAGAATATTACTCAGCCATCAAAAAGATTGAAATCTTGCCACTGGCAATGGCGTGGATGGAGCAAAAGGGTATAATGCTAAGCGAAATCAGTCAAAGACAAATACCGTATGATTTCACTCAGATGTGGAATTTAAGAAATAAATGAGCAAAGAAAAAAAAAAAACAAGAAACAGACTTAACTACAGAGAATTGATGGTTACCAGAGGGGAGGGGGCAGAGGGATGGAGGAAATAGGGGATGGGAATTCAAGAGTATACTTATCATGGTGAAAAAAGTAAAATGATAAAAGTGGGGGGCACACCAAATTTGTCGATCAGTTTCCCACAGGGTCGCCCTGGGGGAAAAAAGGTCGCCACGGTTCGATACCAGTGAGGGCCACCATTTTCAGACTTTCTGGGTGCCTACATTATTTCATTTAATCCCAACCTCCCTTCTACACAGTGGACACCAGGTACTCATTCTCCCCACTTTACAGGTAAAGAAACAGAGTTGAGCCCTTGCCCACATCATGTACTACGGGGGAGCCAGGATTTGAATCAAATCGAAGTGCACGGGGACCTATTAGGCAACTCTCCCTTCCTGCAGTACTGCTCAGAGCCCTGAATGTTCTAACACATACTCTGAATGTCAGAGAGCGTGAAAGTGTAACTGGACTCATCCAAACTCATCCACCACAGAAGCCTGACTGAGAACACTCAGCACCTCGATGAATACGGTGTCCCGCAAAATGTGGGAAGCCATGAGAAAGAGCCAAGTCTCCGGCCTGCCAACTCTGCGGCGCTTCCATACTGGCGAGACAGCTCTGAAGCAGACCACACAAGCTACGGCGTCATCTCGCCCTTGCGCATGAGCCCCCAACTCACCGGAAACGGCATCTGGCTCAGGCTTGCTCCCTGACAGGTCCTCCACCGACGTGCTGCTGCCCTCGGCCCCCACGCCGCAGCCCCGGGGCCCCATGGCGCTGGAGCGCCGCCGCTCGTGGATCTCGTCTGAGATCATCTCCAGGTTCTTCAGGGCCGTCTTGTACTCGCCTTTCGCCAGGGCCAGTTTGGCCTGCAGGTCATCCACGGTCTTCTTCAGTTGCTGCTCAGGAGAAGAGGAGGCTCAGTAAGTGGAGGCAGCCACTCCCGGCCTGGAGAGGCTTTTGAATGACAGGTTCAAGCCCATTTTCTGCTCGTCACTCTACTCCAAAATTTCCCAAGATGTGACCGATGGCCTGATTTCTCTCATCTAGCTATCCACGCACCAGATAAAACAGCAGTCCCCACCAGCCCCAACCCCCATCCAGGTGACAAACTCGAGCTAAGAACCAGAAACTACCACTGGCAGAATAAAGCCCCCAGAGAAACAGTAAGGGGTGTCTAACTCACACCAGTCCCACTTTCTGGCCATTTGGCCCCTCGTACTGGGGTTCTCGAACTTGCATTAGAATCCCCTGGAGGGGGATCCCTGGGTGGCGCAGCGGTTTGGCGCCTGCCTTTGGCCCAGGGCGCGATCCTGGAGACCCGGGATCGAATCCCACGTCAGGCTCCCGGTGCATGGAGCCTGCTTCTCCCTCTGCCTCTCTCTCTCTCTCTCTCTCTCTGTGGCTATCATAAATAAATAAAAAAAAAAAATTAAAAAAAAAAAAAAAGAATCCCCTGGAGGCCTTTTTAAAACACAGATGGCTGGGCTCCACCTGCAGTCTGTGTCTGGGGTGGGGCTTAGGAACCTGCACTTCCCGGATGATGACGACACTGGTCCTAGGAGCCCTAGGAGCCACTGCCCAGGTACAGTACAGAAAGTGGCTGGGCGGCAGATTCAGAGCACTTCAGAGGCCACTGAAGACCCAACCAAGGCCATTTTGAGGCCTGAAAACTCAGTAAAGAATGTGTTTCTCTCTCCATTCGCCTCTTATACCAATATGCCAGTAGAAAGTCCACTACCACATAAAAGTGGGGCTTTGAGTGCAGAAAAGTCAACAGCAAAGCCAAAGAACGCCACACATACCTCAAGCTGCACGTAGTACTTTGCCTTGAGTTCAAAATAAGGCCTGTGGAAGACACAAAACTGTGAAGGTGAGAATACGACGACCCCAACAGACACCACTAGCTAGGGCTGGCAGGCCAACTGTCCAGGATTTCGTCAACTCTGACAAGGCCAGGAGATGAAGATGATACTCGCAGACGGACACAGGTGCCAGTCAGAGCTGCTCAAAGGGCCCACTCAAGACCTGTGGGACCCACACATGTGAACACTCATCCTGGGGCCCTTAAACCTTGGTTCACTTCACTTTCCTCTGTAGGAGGCTCTTCAGGACCATCCAGGGCATGACCAGCAGCTAAGGAAGCCCAGAGCCCCTTCTCCTGAGGAGGAGGCTGTCTCCTTCAGAGTAAAGAATAGACAAGGCTGGGGTTGCCTGGGTGGCTCAGTCAGTTAAGCCTCTGCCTTTGGCTCAGGTCAAGATCCCAGGATCCTGGGATGGAGACCCATGTCAGGCTCCCTGCTCGGTGGGGAGCCTGCTTCTCCCCTTCCTCCCACTCTGCCTACTTGTACACTCTTGCTTGCTCTCACTCTCTCACTTGCTCTCTGTCAAATAATATCTTAAAAAAAAAAAAATAGACAAGGCTGGAGAAGGGACTGCCTCAACACACACCCTCCTCTGCTGGGGGTCACTGGAGAAGGGAGAAGCATTATTCCTCCCTCACCAAAAGGATGGAGGCTCAGAGGGGTCCTCTTGCATTCTGTCCATGAGTGTCAGTCTGCAGACCCAGCCAGGTCATGGGCAAGAGAGAGGACAAAGGCCAACATTCTACTAGCCCCCAGGTTCTGGGTCAGTCAAAAGACCCTGGCTCTGTTTTGGAACTTTGGTGTCAAGCGTTAAGAGTAGACAGTGCTTTATTCTTGAGCTGTTCACTCCCTGGGAAGCTCTTTGGCTTAGAGGCCCAGCAACTGTAAATGAAGCAGGGGGCTTGTCCCCAACATCATTACTATATAAAAATATACAGCAGCAGTGAAAAAAGCTTGCAAAAACCTCCATTAAAGCCAGTCTTGCACCATTTCATCAGATCCGGGTCCAGAGAGAATGTGTGCTGTGCACACAGCTCATCCCCATGATGCTGACAGGTAAACTCAAGGACAACGCTCGCCCACGCCGCCCACCAGAGCCAGCAGCACAGAGTGTCCCAAAGCCCAGCCCCGGCCCCCAGCCAACGAGCCACGCAATGGCTTGCTTTTGAAATTCCTTTTTCTGTGTCTCCCAGGTCAGTCACGGCTGGTCACTTCCTGCCTCTGGGGGTTACTGAGAACGTGGGGGGCTCTGATGAGGCGGGTCCCTGAGTGTGCGGCACACAAAAGGTGGAGAAGATGCACAAGAGAAGGACACTCGACCCCGGCCCCAGGGCCCCATGCGCCCGACTCACTTGGACTTGTTGATGGCTCTCTTAAGTTTCTTCTCCAGCTGCCGCATGCGGCCCATGGCCGCGTTGTACCGGGCCGCCGTCTCCTTGTGCACCAGCTCGCTCCTCGTCTTGGTCTGCTCCGCCTCCATGACCTTCAAAGGACAGCAGACGTCAGCCTGGCCAGATAGTCCCTTGTTGGGGTATTTCTTCTATCATTTTTTTTTTTTTTAAAGAGGAAATCTGTGGACAAACTAAGATTCAACTAAATCCCAAACAGAAGAGGACCACTTTTCTCTGTTAACCTGTTTTGGAAAGTCTGGTCAGGCGAGATGAAACAGCCAGACTGGCCGTGGCCTTGCCTGAGTAACAAAAGGAAAAGCAAAAATCAGAGAGAAATGAAGCATTCTCTGATTTAATCGATGTCCACCTTATGCTGCTCAGGCCTCCCAGCCCTAAATAGCCGCTGTGGGCTCCTCGGCCCTTGGCTTGGCACGGGGGGTGTCAGGCACGCAAATAGGCCAACGGCACCACAGGGACATCCAGGAACAGGGAGACCTAGCACCACCGGGCACGACCGCATCAGAATGGCAAGGCGATCGCCACGTCAGCTGGTTGGCCCTTTCCTGAATATCCTGCATCAGCCAGGGACACAAAAGAATCCGGGATCCAGGAGGGGCAACCTTCACCTTTACACAAATGAATATCAGGTCATCCAGATCAGATTCTGGGGGTCCCAGACATGCATGAGACCAGGGGACCAGTCAGCGTTCTGGCAGGAAATTCTAGTGGCGATGTCTCGTTGAGCCTGTGGATAAAAATCATTTTACATGGGATCCCTGGGTGGCGCAGCGGTTTGGCGCTTGCCTTTGGCCCAGGGCGCAATCCTGGAGACCCGGGATCGAATCCCACGTCAGGCTCCCGGTGCATGGAACCTGCTTCTCCCTCTGCCTATGTCTCTGCCTCTCTATCTCTGACTATCATAAATAAATAAAAATTAAAAAATAAAAAAAAATAAAAAATAAAAATCATTTTACAACAAACAATCGGGGGTTGTCGATGGCCAAAAACAAGGCCGCTGAAAGGTGCATCCCTTGATGCATGAAAATGATGGTCCTTTCGTCCGTTACATAAAGAAAGCAGCAGAACAAAGCCTGTTGTATAAAACAGACAGTACTACAGATGATTCTGACCCTAGAAATGAAGAGGAACTGCATCCCACGGAGATGGATTTCATGACTGATTGTCCCGTAAATACTGACCCATTCCGCAAGTTTACAAACTCATTTCAGCATTCCTGATTTTCTATACACGAGCTTCTCCTTTGAAATATAACATCTTACTAGTTTCTTCCTTAATTAGGGAGTTAAAGAACTATGTTCGACGTTTTATGTTTATCGGTTACACTTGTACCTTTTAAGAACATACATATCTTAGCAAAGGCTTCAATGCTTGAGATACTCTTAATTTAACAGAATTAAAACCATTCAGAGAAGAGAAGTACGAGGGAATTGATCTAGGCTGCCATGAGGCGACATGCTTGCTAAAATGAATCTCGACCAAGCCCAGGGCTAAGAAACCCTTCCCCTCTGCTTCAGACACCAAAGATTTCACAGTTTTGAAATGAAGGGCACAAAAACCATCCCACACTTGGACACTTAGGGAAACAGCAGCAACTCTTCAGTCTTGTCCGGAAGCTTAAGCATTAAGGATTTGACAACATGACCTTCACAAAAACCCGAAACCCCAACTTTATGAGACAGATGAAGACTCATATTGGTGGAGAACAGCTGCGTTACCATTGGACATGATACCAGGCTCCTCTTTAAGGAGTGGTGTGAAAGCATTTTAAATGGAGCGATTCATAAAAGCTGTGATTCGTGGCTACGAACAGGAAGGGTCCCCACAAGAAGCAGGATCCACACCAGCTGCACACAGGCCCTCGTCTATCTCAGCCTCTGGTCTGCAAAAAGCAGCAAAGTCTGTCTGAAATTAAACACAGGAAGCTCTGAGCACTTGGCAATATTGCCAGTGAAAACCGAGGGGGCAGCGTGCGTGTCACTGTCCCCTACTTCAGGCCACATTGGCTGTCTCCCAGCCCAATCTGCACCCCTACAAACATGCAACCCCCACAGGGAGCCCCGTTCACCCCCAAATCCTCTTTCTGCCTCCAGGGAGAAAGCCACCAAGCATGCTGCCTTGGTTGCATGGTAACTGAGGACCCCCCTTCTTCCCCCCCTCCCCCCGCCATCTGAAGCCCAGCATCACCTAGGCAGGAGCAATGATGGGCAAAGGGAGGGCTGGGTAGCACAGTAAAGGGGCTCTGCTAGGAAGGTCAAGCCACATCAAGCGCCGGAAAGCCACAGAAGGAGCAACAAGGAAGTCCCTCAGGGCCTCAAGGCGGCCACAGGCTGGGTGGAGCCACCGGATGGGCAAGGGCCACTCAGAGCGGGGGTGAACACTGCCATTGCCCTGGGCCTCCCGGGAGCCACTCCTGCCCTCCTCCCAAGCCTGGGCTGATACTACCTGGTCCAGACTCCAATCTCTGCACAGAACTGCTGCCCCCATCTCCTCAACAGGCTTTTCTTTTGAACCAGCATCACCGTGCACCCAGAGGTGCACATACTACTTGAGCGCCTACAGTGTGCCCGGAGCAGCCTAACAGGTATAGGTGTGCCCGCAGCAGTGGCTGCCACTCAAGACAGCACGGGATCTGGGCTGGCAGGAGGACCGCAGCAGCTCAGAGGGGGCACTTGAGCGGGCTCTCCGGGTGGGCAGCTGGGGTGAAGGATGTGAAGGGGGGGAAGCACAGCTGGCTGAAAGCACAGGCCTTATTAGCACAGGCTGCAGTCCCTTCCTGCACCCACATCCCAACACCCCATCTGCCAGCCCCGACGTGATGAGCACGCAGGACTCGACAAAGGAAGAAGGCAGCAATCAGCTTCCCACCCCCTCCCCTGGAGCCGGGGGGCTCCCGAAGGACATACCACCGAACAGGATCAGACGCAGACTCCCTCAGGATGCCTGAGAACCTCCTCCCCACAGAGGGCCCTATCTTGGAGGGGGCCTGCTGGCCATGGTCACCTCTAGGTGTGTCTACCTCGCGGCCTGTCCCAAAGGCCCGGGAACCGACCACCCACCCGGGGCCGATGCCGAGGTCTGAGGCTAGTCGACCCTAGTGGCCAGAACCAGCACCCAAGGGGTGGGTCGCTGCCCCTCCTCCTAGTCAGCAGGACAGAGAAGTGCGGGTCCCGGAGAGCCAGCCTGCCCCTCCGTAAGGCCCAGGGCAGGCAGGCGGCTGGGTCCCAGAGTCCTAGGGACCCCGCTCACGGCAGCACGCAGTCGAGCTCCAAGAACAGGGCCTGAACAGGCGTCGGCTGGACACCTCCTGGTGGGGCTGCAAGACGTCTACCTGGCGTGGCTCCTCACAGCCTTGTGTTCTGGCTTTCCCGACGGCTGTGCAAACCCCAGCGTGTTCCCATTTGCTCCACCACCCTTGACATCCCAGAGCAGAGGTCAGGGCCCTCCTCTCCCCCAGGGAGGCGGCTTCAGGGTCTCCTCAGAACCTCAGGCAGCTGGTTCAGACGCTTTTCAGATTCTGCTGCACCCCTGGGTGAGGGGGCCCATGGAAGTGGCTTCTCATCGCCATGCAGGAGGCAGGTGGCACACACGCAGCAGCGTCAGGGAAGCTGGCCTCGACAGCTCTGCGTGTGCCACCAGCAGGCCTGGCGTCCCTGCACCCAGGCAGTCTCCACACACGCAAACCACCTAGGACTCGAGGCGGGCTCAGTGTCCTCTCCTCTCCTCTCCAGAGGCCACCTGCTGCCCTTTCACCAACCGTTAATGTCTCCCCATTTCTAAGTCGCGGTTGCTTCTTCCTCTATCTGCTCTCTTTTGACAGGTCTCTGAAAAGCCAGTCCCTGTCCCCTCAGATGCCAGGTCTCCTTTCCCACTTGATGAAAAGCAGTCACTTTCCCATAAAGTCACTGCTTCAAGGCCAAAACAGCCGAAGCTGGAGGGGGCTCTGCTGCCCAAGCCCTCAAGTAGTGAGCAGCAGGGACCCCAGGCCCTGCATCCCCTGGAGGCCCTTCAAGTGCAGGCTCGACCACTCTGCCTCACCTACTGTGGCTCCTAAGGCCCTTCTTGACCCCAGCACCGAGCAGACAACCGTCCCTTTGTCCCTGTTGGTGGCATAACGTGTGGCCTAAGAGAACACTGGGACTCCCGGCATTGCTTACAGTTTCCTAGAATGCTGGCTTCAGCCTTGCCTTCAGGGTGTGGCTGCCCAACCTCAGAATAAGAAGTCTGAAGGGAACAAAGCAGACAGACTGATGGCCTGGGCAAGAACAAGGGTACTTGCTGCGGTGCTCCTCCACGGTGCCCAGGGGGAGGGCACACGCAGCCCAAACCACCTCCACTTCCTCAAAACAGCCTGGGCCTTCCTGAGCTCTGGACCATTAAGTGGTACTTTTTTTGGGAAAAAGAGGGTGAGGTGAAACTAGCTCCCTTCTTCTGAAGAAGTGGGCTTCCTGGGGCATCCAGAAATCAGACAAGGCAGGAGGCACAGTCTGTACCTCTCACTGTCCTCAGCAACCAACATTCCACAGGTCGTGTGCGCCAACCCCATGAGGTTTGGGGGAGCAGGCAACATGAGCCTTGTCTGGGGAAATGCTAAATCCCGAGGGAGATCCACAGTCAACCTAAAAAGGAGGGTTTGCACCATCCATCAAGTTCAGCATGCCCCTTTCTAGGCTGTTTCTCAATAATGCAGGACATGGTTGGAGAGGGCTGTCACCAGCTTTGTCTCTAGCTAGTGTCAGTTTCGAACTTTCCTTCTCCCTCAGCTGTTCAAACCTATGCAATGATGAAGGAACCTGGGGAAGAGAAGAGCAGCCCTAGGGTAAGAATCCCAGCCTGTGACCCAGAACACCTGCTAGTCTGCAGTGGTTATCCCCATAACCAAGAAGCCTCCAGTGGCTTCAGTGAGGACACACATCAGAAGACCGTCCCCAGGCCCTGAGGAGCCCGTGTGACCTCAGGAGGCCTGGGGCCATCTTGTAAAGCCTCACAAGTTGTGCACCACACAACCCCAAATAGCACTCTCAAAGACAACAGTATGAACAGCACTCCCGGGAGCTGTGCAATGTGGAAGTCCCAGGGACGCCTCTTCTTGATCAACCACTCACCATCCACCCTAGAGCCCCAGGACTTCCAAAAGAAGTTAAAAAAAAAAGGCATAAAGAACAGATTATTTGTTCCTTTCTAAAGAACAGATTAGGGGACCCCTGGGTGGCTCAGCAGTTTAGTGCCTACCTTTGGCTCAGGGCGTGATCCTGGAGTCCTGGGATCAAGTCCCACATCAGGCTTCCCATAGAGCCTGCTTCTCCCTCTGCCTGCCTGTCTCTCTGTCTCTCATGAGTAAATAAAATCTTTTTTAAAAAAAAACAACACAGATAAAAAGTTTCTGAAATGATATCTTAAGGCTGATTTAGATCTCCAATTGGGGTGGAGGGAAGACAAAAAGGAAAAGGAGACCTTTACCTAATTTCTTGGAAGGAGCTTTTTTTTTTTTTTTTTTTTTTTTTTTTTGGTCCTTTCCACATCTGTCAGACTGTGGCTTGTAAATTTCCAACTTCTACTTTGGTTTCTCGCTGGCTGACCCAGAAAAGCTATTCCAGCCTGTTTGTCTGAGCATCACACGTCCACTAGGGGGCAGGAGGCCCAAAGCCACACAAAGCCAGGCCAGGTATCTTGGGCTTCAGGGGAAGGTGGTACAAAGGCCTGACTAGAAGTCATTTGTGTGTCAGGCTATTTAGGGAAGCACAAGACCATCTTTAGTTATCAGATCCCCTATGACTTGAGCCACTGTGGCAGGTGACAGTGAAGAGAGAGAGGCTGCTGGCATTAACTGCTGACTTTTCTATTCTAGCCCCACAGGTGGCAAGACCAGGGGGGTTGCAGCCCCCTCTATGTCACCCCTCTATCTAAGGCCTTGGTTGGAGCTGCTAGAGCCACATGTCAGCTTTCCCACTCACCCTGCAGCAAATCTGCCTGGAGAAGGCGGGGGGGGGGGGGGGGATCAAGACTATTCTGTGTGACTCCTAGAAAACCCAGTGGAGTTAGGTAGAGGTAACGATTCCAACTGAGCCAAGTAGCTATCTTGATTCTGAGCTACGTGGTCAGAGAACAGGTCATGGGAGCTGGTAAAAAGCCAAACAATAATGGCATAAAACCTACAAGTCAAATCAGGGTAAAGATCATACACGGCCCACTTCCTGTTCCCACGCTGGCTGCTCAAAGCCCAGCCCAGCCCAACCCGAAGGTCAGGCCTGTGCCCACTGGATTCTGGTCTCATCTATCATGGCCCCCACCCTTCTGCCAGCAGCGCACACATCCCAAGTCCAGGCCCCACGTGATTTGGGGCCATTAATCAGTCTTCTACCTGGAATGCTAAACTCAGCTATTCCCCTTGCAACTTAGTGGGAATGGGCCCTGGAAAATAACCTGGTCCCTCCAGGAAGCCCAATCCACAGTCAAGACCTTCAGGGATGATCTGAACTAGACAAACTTCCACTGACACAGGGAAGGAACAGCTAGGCCCGTTACTGGAAGACTGTCACTCTGAGTATGGCTGAGTACCAGGCCAGCAGAGACCCCCCACGGAGAGACAACCTGTGACTTTCAGACAGCGTTTCTAGGCAACAAGCCTGGGAAGTCTGTTTCCTCTGCATGGGGGAACCAGGGCACACAGAGCTCATCAGGACCAGGGGGTAGTCCGGGTCACAAGGATGAGGAGAAGCGTGAAGGATGCTCCCACACCCCACCCACGAAAGGGAGGGAGGGCACCCGGTGCAGATGCCCACACGCACGCAGGCACCTGCAGACACGGACGCATGCTTGAAAACCAGGCCCACCCTGTACAGGCGCACACGGCTATGACTCATACCCTCTGGGTGGCGTGATTCAGCATCTCTTGCCAGGCGGAGTCGAACTGTCGCTTGTCATCCTCCAGCAGCCGCTGCTCAGCCAGGGAGATGGTTTCCTTGGCGGCACGGAGCACCTCTGTGGCCCTCTGGAAGTCCTGTGTGGCTTTCTGAGCTTCCAGCTGAGCCTGTGCAAGAAAAAAGCCTCGTGAGGCCTCAGGAAATGGCAGGGGCTCCCTCTGGCCCAACCCGCCCTCCAAAAGATGAGCTTCCTAAGGGCTGGCACCTGCCCTGTCCACCTCTGCCCTTCCAAGCAGGAACAGCCCTGGTGCCTGCAGGTTCTTGTAAATGCTGGATGAGGGAGTAGGTGCCAGGGAGGCGAGTAGAGAATTTTCACAGTCCAGGACCCAAGAGACCAGATAAACATGCCAAGTCTCGGTCAGAGCTGGAGATGGCAAACCACAGGTGTGGTTCCCCCTTTCCCAGAGCAGCTCTCACTTGCTAGCGATGCCAAGGTGGATACCGGGGTCCCCGACACCATCCCCGCCCAGATCCATGGCTCGATGCAATCATGTCAGGACCAGAAGGGCCCCCGAGATCCCAGTCGAATGGCTTTACTCTACAAGTGGCACTAAGAGACCCAGCCAGGCCACACAGCTGGTGAGAAGCCAAGCTGTGACCAGACTCCAGGCACCACAAGTCCCGCTAAGCGCGGTCACTCTGCCAGACAGGCCCTCGACCCAATTCACACTCCCCAACAGCTAGGGAGAAGGACAGAACTGTCACAACACGGTCCCCACTTTCAAGGAACGTCAAGTAGGAGAATGCACATGAATCATAGCAGAGCATATGTTACACTGCCACCAATCACATGTGGCTACCGAGCATTTGAAATGTCCTTAACCCACAGTGAGTGTGAAGCACCCCAAATTTCTTTTTAAAGATTCTATTTATTTATTCATGAGAGACACAGAGAGAGGGGCAGAAGGAGAAGCAGGCTCCAAGCAAGGAGCCCAATGCAGGACTCGATCCCGGGACTCCAGGATCACACCCTGGGCCAAACACAGATGCTTAACTGCGGAGCCACCCAGGCATCCCAAAAGCACCCCAAATTTTAAAGACAGCCCCAAAAAAAGAATTGTTAGTGATCCAACTTTTCATAATGATTACATGATGAAATAGTAGTATTTTGGATATAGTTGGTTAAATAGAATACCTTATTCAAATTAATTTCATCTGCATCTTTGACTTTTTTACTATAACTACCAGAAAATTTAAAATTACATAATTGGCTCACATGCTATTTCTTTTGGACAGTAAATTCATCTTCCCCAAGAGTGGCCCATGAGATTGCATCAGGAATCAGCAACAAAACCCTCTGGCCACAACTGAATTTCCCTGCAGAGTCCAAGCAAGCCACTGCCAAACACTGGCCCGCTGCAGCATCTGACCCACCCGCCCTTGGTTAACCAGATCAGTTACATAAGCCCTGGGGACATCCATGGGGTAGCCCCTGGGACTCAGAGAGGGGAACAATGGGGGCCCCATCCATCCTCAGGGTGAGCCTCACGTGACTTAGAGGAAGTCTTGGAGAACCGCAAGACAAAGATGGTTAAGGGGAACAAAACAGACATGGAACGTACCAGCCCTCAAGGCAAGGGACAGCTCTGTGACCTCGAGGGTGCCACTTTCCACACTTCAGGGGACAGTGGAGACATACGCTGCATACCACACCCAACCCAACCCTCCGGGATGACCATCTGGTCAGGGAACAGAAACAGGCCTGCAGTGGACATCCAGAATGTGTCCTAAGTAGCTGTGCACGAGCACGCCACAGGAGGGAGATAGACGGTAGGAGGGGGTCCAGGAGAAATTACTTCCAGGGGAGGGAATCCAGGGCTACTCCTGCAAAGAGAATGATCCAGAACGGAGGACTGAAAGACAAGATAATCTGAAAAAAAGGCAGGGTTGGTGGGGAGGTGTCCAGGAAGCAGCAGCCTCATGAACCACAGTATCTGAAGGAGACCTTGACAAAGACAGGTAGAGGACACGTATCTTGATGAGCACCGACTACTATATGGACTTGCTGACTTCTTATACTGTACACCTGAAACTAATGACAGCAAGGAATCAAATCAAATCAAATTAAAAATAAAAATACATATACTGCTATCAAATTTTAAAAGGAATCAAGAATGGTAGCCTGAATGAACACCAGGCTAATACTTCGACCAGTGGCCCAGGGGCCTGCCTGCCTGCGGTGAACCACTGTGTGGCCCCAAGCCACACGCCATATGCCCACACCCCCACACCAAGCTCCTTATCTGCTATGTGGTGGGGACAAGGGGCCCGGCCCTACAGAACTGACCAGCCCACTGCATGGTAACAAGACAGCACAGCATGCTCTCCGCACGGGACATGCTGCTCCAGATCCTGAGCTTCCAGGCCAGTATGTGGATGTCCCATGAGAGGACTGCCCTGGTGGGGCCCTCATCTGCCTAGCTAGCTGCACTGTGGGGCAACTGTGGGGAAGCACGGGGACCTGTCACTTCAGAGCTGCCCTCAACCTCCCCCACAGACCACCTACAGGCTTCCAACCAACACCAGCAGACAAGAATTAATCCTACAGGATTCTAACATTTCCCAAGGTGGGATCTGTACTTGTGTCTTTTAGGAAATTTTAGTATTTCAATTCAGCAACATTTAAGGGTAAAGTCTCTTCCCCCAGGTCTCCTCGCTTGAATTATGAAGTTTTCTTTCTTCAAACAAACAAAAGACAGAGCTGAAATGCGGCTGCTGCCACAGACCCAGTACCACCTTCACCTACCATCTTGCGTCTGGATAGTTCTAATGAGGGAGCCAGACCTCTACAAAGAGGGGGAAGGAGGCCCATCTGAAGGGGCCTTTAGAAGAACATGCTCTCTGTCGAGTCCATGGAGTTTCTGAGTTTTCCACAAGGCTGGTGGTATCAGAAACGTGCCTGCCTTGCCATATCAAAGATCGAACGTGAGCCTTCAGTCTACCCTTGACCCACGAAAACCAGATGGCATCTCTCCATCATTTATCCTCCTACTCATTCATTCAAGTGTTAGGTGGCTCCTCAGTACCACTGTCTGTTCTCTCCATCTTTCCTGGTAAGAGAGCCCATGTGTCTCAGGGAGAGGTAATGTGCCAGCTAAAGACTACTTCCCAGCCATGAAGATAGCTGCTAACTTCTTCCTAGCTAATGAGATGTAAATGGACACTGAGTGAGCCTTCCAAGAAGGCAGCTTTGTCTTCCATTTGTAATATGAACACAATGGCTGGTGCTTCAACAGCCATTTTGGATGGATCATGAGGCAATTCTCCCAACGAGTAAGTCCCTGCGCTGGACTGCATACCTCCTGACTTTTTAAATGACAGAAAAATAAAGGCTGATGTTTTCTGTTACACTCAAATCTAATGCTAAATGATAACACACCTCCCCTCTCTACAGCTGAGCTATTCTTCAAAACAGAAGTGACTACAGTAACTAGCACAGACTCGTCGAATCTCCTTCAACTTCTTTCTGGCTGCTCCCAGTCCATTTTACTGCTACTAAGCCCAAGGGACCAACCTTTTGGGGGGATTCCTAAAGAAGCCCAAAGCCCATGGCCTCTTTGTAAGGCATTTCATCCAACATTTTCTAAAACCACATTCACAAGGAAGGACCAGGCAGGTGCATACACAAGGGGAGGGAACAGTCTATCATCCTCTTGCTAGCAGCATATAGTACATTCAGTATTGCTAAGGAACCTCCTGGTGACTAATTTCTGGAAGGGAGGGATCCACCCCAAAATTAGGGGTTCCAAATCAATCGAGAAAACAGACACATTCAGAACAAACTCCAATACAAGACAGATTGTGACAGTAACAGAGGTGTAAAGTGCCATGTGAACATAAGGAAGAGAGAATGATTTGTCAAAGGTTTCCCAGGGAAAACTCGTCAAAGGAGAAGGTGTCAGGCACCAGGCTAGGTCATGGTAATACAGGAGGCATCCGTGAGTTTACACATACCTAACTGGGGACGGTTAACTCTGAGACTGCTTCCCAAGTGCCATAGTGGGACACAGGACCTCAAAATCATTAGCTGACTTAACACTCCCAACAAGAGCTGGCTATCTGGTTCTCACTGGTGTACGAAAGATGACACCCGGAAATCTTCGGCACAACAATGCCAACATGTTTTACCTTCAACCCCCCAAAAAGGACCTAAACCGTAGTATTAATATATTACCCATCAGTGTACACAAATCAGGTGGTGGTCTCTAGCAGAGAAACCCAGTTAGCAAACTGAAGGGCTGAGGCTCTGCTTACAAGATCTTGACAAGGAAAATATTGGGGAAGCTGGGTTTTAGCTGGAAGATGCAACACAGGAAAACTTCAAACCTCTTCACGACTCATAGATACTAACAACTTTCATGGAAACAGCTCTCTGGAAAGAATTTTAAAGGACTATTCATGAATGAATTTGCTAAGTGACCTTCATTAGACTCTAGTCTGGGGCCAGCAGTGACCATGAAGGCTTCACATGTGTGGGTATTCCATGGTGTCATCAACAGGGGGAGCAAAAAAAAAAAAAACAGGGGGAGCAGCAAGGGGCATGGGGAGAGGTCCACCATTGTCAAGGCTGCCAGGAGAAGGGAGAAGCCACAGTCATGGCTGTCTACTAGACTTCCACCCCAGCCCATGTTTGAGCTCAGGAGGAACAAGCTCTGGACATTTGTACTGGTTCCAACAAAGGGTCAGGGCAGAAGGAAGTTCACAGATCATCCAGTTCAAGACCTTCAGCTTTCAAAAGATGGCTCAGAGACACTTGCTGAATGACACAAGACAACTTGCTGAATGTCATACAGCTATTCAGTGCCAGGAAACCAGAGCTCCTGACCCCTAAATGTGGCTGTTCCTGCTCTAACCTCTCATAAGAGCTTCAGTCTACCCTTGACCCATGGAAAACGGGATGGCATCTCTCCATCACTGACCGTCATTCTACCTCCAACCTGCATAACTTTGGCAAGGACATCAACATTGGACGATTGGAGAATCCACCTGTAACTCATGCATAGCAAGAAGAGCTGTTCAATAGGCCAAAGAGGAGATGAGAATTCAGAGTGCCTCCCACCTGTGGCTCATGCGGGGGCCACTAACACACCAGCTGGTCAGCTAAGGA